CCCCCCCCGCCCGGGCTTCTGTGAGCGTTTCATGGGTTACGAATTCAAAACAGCAGGGCTTTGGTGTTAATGGCTTAGGAAATCAAAGATCAAAAGGTAACATGGTTCATGTTTTTTAAAGTGCCCTATGCATCGTGGATCCAGGCATTTAAAACTGCATTTCCCTTTTCTCTGTGACTGCAGTCTGCTGTGGGCTTTGAGTACCAGGGGAAAACTGAGAAACACGCCTCGCAGAAAGGTGAGATGTGAAAGACCCCGGTGATGGGAAGGCAGCCCCACCTGCTTTTGAAGGGCAGGAGCACGTTGTCACTCGAGGCCTCTTCCTGGGGGCAGGGGTGTTGCCACGGGCAATTCACTGCTGTCGCCTTCAGGTGTCTGGTCTTCTGGGTGTGGTGTGACAGTGGGGTCCCCGCCACGCAGCCCACGAAGCGCTGGCATCTCGTGTCCCTGTGCCGCCTTCGGTGTGGCAGCAGAAGCTGCTTCCCCTCATCCGTGCAGCGTTGCCCCCGAACAGTTCCTCTCTAACGTGGTTGGCAAAACTAACTTTCCCCTGAGGATGGAAACAGAGCCGTTAAATTACTGGCATTTTCAGCGTGTACGTGTGTCTTTTAACACGGCGTAGGCTAATCTTTATGAGGTAATGCTCCCTGGTAAAGCCTTTTTGTAAATGAAAGCCTATGGGATCCTCGTTCCCTGACCAGGGATCAAACCTGTGCCCCCTGCAGTGGACGCGTGGAGTCTTAAACACTGGACCGCCAGGGAAGTCCCTTGAGGTTTTTTTTTTTGCGGTACGCGGGCCTCTCACTGTTGTGGCCTCTCCCGCTGTGGAGCACAGGCTCCGGACGCGCAGGCTCAGCGGCCATGGCTCACGGGCCCAGCCACCCCGCGGCATGTGGGATCTTCCCGGACCGGGGCACAAACCCGCGTCTCCTGCATCGGCAGGCGGACTCTCAACTGCTGCGCCCCCAGGGAAGCCCCCTTGAGGTGTTCTTTGCCAGCTTGTTTACTTCTGCCTCTTGCGGGTCGTCCGATGACCCAGGGAAGGAGCTCGGCCTGGGAGCGCTCCAGGCCCCGCGGCCCCCCCAGCCCGCCTGGCGCGGTGTGTTGGAGGGGTCGGGTAAAGACCCGTGCAGCTGCGTGGCTGTCTTTATACACTGACCTTTATTTGAACGGTTACTTCCCAAAGTGGGCCTGCAGCTCACCTCTGCCCTTCAGTAGTCGAAGGGGACCAGACTGCAGAGGCACATGGACGCGTCCAGCGTCACCCGTGTGTGACAGCGGGTAGCTTGTTGTACATTTTAAGATGCGTGCTTGACCTCCTGGTGAGTCTTGTTTCGCCTAACCAAGGTGGCACGTGGCCTGACACACTTTCCTGACCGCTGCCCTGTCTCCCCAGACTACTCGAGCGGTTTTGGTGGCAAGTACGGCGTGCAGTCTGACCGCGTGGACAAGAGCGCCGTGGGCTTCGACTATCAGAGCAAGACGGAGAAGCACGAGTCGCAGAGAGGTGGGCCGCAGCGGCGCCCTGCTGACCGTCAGGCACCCCGGGCCCCGTCGTCTCTCATGCGTTCACCGACACACACCCAGGGGACTTTGCCCTGACGCAAATCGGTTTATGTTATATTTATATAATTTTTCTAACTTAAAGTGTTTGGATGTCCCTGTTACTTTCTGGATGATGTAGGTGGTTTGTCGTATTTTTTTTTTCTTTAAAGATTTATTTATTTATCCATTTTGTTTATTTTTGGCTGCGTCAGGTCTTAGTTGGGGCACGTGAGCTCTTTGTTGTGGTGCGCGGGCTTCTCTCCAGTTGTGCCGTTTGGGTTTTCTCTTCTCTAGATGTGGCGTGCAGGCTCCAGGGCACATGGGCTCTGTAGTTTGCGGCACACGGGCTCTCTAGTTGAGGCACGCGAGCTTAGTTGACCCGCGGCACGTGGGATCTTAGCTCCCTGACCAGGGATTGAACCCACGTCCCCTGCGTTGTAAGGCCGATTCTTTACCACTGGACCACCAAGGAAGTCGCGGTTTGTCGTAATTTTGATGACTTCTGAGTCCTGTGTTCTGTGGTCCAGTTAACTGTTCCTCTCTGGAATGTGGAATTTAGGTTATTTCCAGTTTTTGATGTTAAAAATTGCCTGCAGGGACTTCCCTGGTGGAGTGGTTAAGAACCTGCCTGCCAGTGCAGGGGACACGGGTTCAAGCCCTGGTCCGGGAAGATCCCACATGCCACGGAGCAGCTAAACCTGCGTGCTACAGCTACTGAGCCTGCGCTCTAGAGCCCACGAGGCACAACTACTGAGCCCGCACGCCTAGCGCCCGTGCTCCGCAACAAGAGAAGCCACTGCAAGGAGAAGCCCGTGCACCGCAACCAAGAGTAGCCCCCGCTCACCGCAACTAGAGAAAAGCCTGCGTGCGGCAACAAAGACCCAACCCGAAGTAAACTCCAAGACCTGAAAATAAAATAAGTAAATTCATTAAAAAAAAAAAAAAATTGACTGCAGTGAATATTCTGTTATATACGTAAGTGATTATTTAAAAGAATAAATTCTTAGCAATGGAGTTGCTGGGTCAAAAGATGTTGAATTTAAAATTTTGATAGAGCCTTCTAGATTGTCCTTAGAAGCCATCCTGACTTTCCCTTCACTGTGATGTAAGTGATCAGTTACGGCCCTCTGCCCGCTGAGGTGTGTGTTCATGGAGCTTGACTTAAAAGATTCAACCCCCGCTGCAGAGCTCCTGATCTGTTGGTGGTTCTGCGTTGTTTGTTTTGTTTGGCCTGCACATGTAAGTTATTTGAATAATGGCCAGCGTGTAAACTGAGAGCTCACGTACTTTTTAAAACCCCAGATTTTTTTAAGAAACAAAAACGAAAGCCATCACTGGAAACCCCACTGGCTTGGCATTTCCCCAACGGGTGGCTGTTGGGCCTGAGGGGCTCCTGTTTGCTGAGGGCATTGCTTGCCTTACACCTGGCGGGGCCTGCCTGCCCTGAGGCCGCTGGGCCTGCTGAATGGGGTTCCTTTAAACTCTGCCTTCTCTCTCTGCTGGGCACACACCTGTACTCCTTTGCCCCGTATGCCCACTGCCAGTCAGCACCTGCTGTTGGATCCTGTTCATTTTCACCAGATTATCTCCCCGAGATGCCCTTGAAGAAGAATAAATACGCCTTTGGGCCGTCGGAGGGCAGAGGCCCAGTGCCGGGAGCAGCCCTAGGCGCTCCAGGAAGGGATTTGACCTCTGCGTGCGTTCTCCTCTGCTAACGGGTCCGTGATGGAGTCACGCCTTAGTGTAAAGACAGCGATTTAGTATAATAATAACTTAGCTTTGAGTTGAACTGACATTTCTGGAAGGTAGTCCCTGTTTGTCCTGTTCCTTTGGCGGTGCCCCCCAGCACAGCTCTGCTAGCTTTGGTTAGGAGGTGGGGTGACCCTCCAAGAGCTTGCCCCTGTGGCTCATCCTGAGTTCAGAAACTTTATGTCCCCTGTTATCTCGTGCTGTCTTTTGTGGTGAAGGAGAGGCGCTACAGTTGTTCGTCTGCTCTGCTTGCTACACTTCATAGTTCGATCATTACATACAAATAATACTGTTAAATGTTTCCTGCGTGAGTGATCTTAGAGTGAGCCTCAGAGACTTTAGGTTTGTTTTTTTAAATTGAGTGATCAAAATCCTTCCTTAAAGACTGCTGAAATCCACAGCGTGTTCGCTGATCTTGTGACTGGTTTATGAACAGTACTTTTCTTGTTTTCAGATTACTCCAAAGGTTTTGGTGGCAAGTATGGTATCGACAAGGACAAGGTGGATAAGAGCGCGGTCGGCTTTGAGTATCAAGGCAAAACCGAGAAGCACGAGTCGCAGAAAGGTGGCTTCAGTTTTACCTTATTGTCCAGCTAGCAGGCTATTAACATGATAGGTGATAACCAGAACAGAAATGGAAAAACAGAACATAACTGGGAACCCTTAGGGTGGATGTCTCTTTCTGTTAAACATTGAACTGTAAAACAGAAAATCTAGAAACAGAGCTGTTAACTAAGAAATCCAGTCCTTAGACCTCTTTTAGCTTGAACATTGCAGCGGCGTGGCTTGTAGCAGGGGCCACGTGTTGTACGTCTGTAAGTGGTGAGACCCAGTGGCGCGTCAGTGCTGTGACACTGCATGCTTCGCGGGTTCCCGTAGGGGGTCCCGTCAGTGTTAATCCACGGTGCGGAGATGGTAGATGAGGTTATTTTCCTGACACACTACGAGGCGGTCCTCTTAATGAATGTCACCTGCAGTTTTCACCAAAGGTCAGGAAGAGAAAGGATGGTTTAGTGAATTGTGTATGTTGAACTTCACGGAAAACCTGCTTTCTCCCTGTTACGCAGGCTGCCCATTAATACTCGATTGTGGCCTTTTATTGTCCACGCAGACTACGTGAAAGGCTTTGGAGGGAAGTTCGGTGTGCAGACAGACAGGCAGGACAAATGTGCCCTTGGCTGGGATCACCAGGAGAAGCTGCATCTGCACGAATCCCAAAAAGGTACGTTCACGCTGGCTGCTCGCCCACGAGGCCCTTCGAGAAGTTCATTTCTGTTTACAGGTCCACGTGTGCCTGGCCTCATGGTACTTGTGTCGCAGTGCTGTCCTGTCTTCAGTGGGGGAGGGGTCCTCTGTCCCCACGGCTTTGGAAGGACCCCTCCGCCTGTAGTGATTCCCCCTTCCCCCTTGGGGGGCTGTGGTTGGGCGGGGCAGGGCACCTGTGCTCGCCTGGGCCCTGAAGCCCCAGCCGCTGCGGCAGTGTTCCTGAGGGGCTGCTGCCTGCCGCTCCGGGCGGCCACAGGGGCGGCACGGTGGTCCCAGCCCGAGAGGTGCCCCGTCCCTGGGAGCGTGGCTGCTGGGGCCCCGGGCTTGCAGCCAGCGCGGTGGGGAGCTGCGCGGCTGTGGGGTGGGCCGTGTTTGTAACGTGTCTCTTTCTTCAAGTGAGCAGAGACGCGTGCTCTTGTCTGCAGCGTGGGCGGGGCCCCGCAGAGAGTCCTGGAGCACGGAGCGGCTTTTCCGAATCGGCTCAAATACAGTTGCTAACCTGCTTTCGGGCCTGGGCCACGTGTTCAGACGTTGTCTGTCCTTTAACCTTTTGAGCCCTTTGTGACTATTGGTGAGACTGGGAGCTGGCTCTGTCGTCCCCGAGCTCGGCGCAGCCCTTGTTTCCTCCAGGCAACGTGTTTGAGTCTAACCAAACTTGTGTTTCCTCTCGGTTGTTTTCTCCACTGTCACCTGTGGATTTTCAGATTATAAGACTGGTTTCGGAGGCAGATTTGGTGTTCAGTCCGAGAGGCAGGACCCCTGTGCTGTGGGCTTTGATTACAAGGAGAGACTGGCCAAGCACGAGTCCCAGCAAGGCACAGTTGCTCCCCGGCTCCCCCTAGCCCCGCCCAGTGCCGCCACTTCTAGCACAGGCTTCAGGGCTCAGCCTCCGAGTCACCCGCTGTCACCTGCAGGGGCACCTGGGCATTTCCAGCCCAGTGCTGTGCCAGAGCGGAATTCACTCGCACCCTTTCTTCCCTGTTGACTTTTTTCTGTCCCGTAACCGTTGGGGTGTGTGTCTGGTCAAAGGTGGCATGAGGTGCAGGTCACTGTAACCCCGTGCCGTGCCTCGCTCCTGGAGTCGGCTGTCTCTGGTCTCCCGGCGGCCTTCCGCAGCAGCGCTTGCTGTTGCTGGGACTCCTGTGAGTGTCGCGTAGGCCGCCTCCCTGCCTCCGAGACCGGGAGAAACTGGCCTTGGACCAGGGGCGTGGGGCAGGCGTGTCCACGTGGTTTCTGTGTCTCATTTGTGGTGGTGGTTTTTTGGTTTTTGCTAGTTTTTTTGATGACACCATCTCTGTGTGACTCCTTCACACAGAACCAGACAGTACGTACGCAAAGCTGGAACTCGACAGGTTTCTGGGTGCATATATTGGGAGTCCAGATGGCAAACGTGCTTTTGCTCAGAGCAGTTATCTAATGTCTGTCAAAATTCAGGTTTGATCATTAGAACCGGGACACACAGTTGGCAGAGTCGTGTCCTCATTTTCCGGGGCTGAGTTTAGGTGCTCAGCCCCAGTGTTCAGGGAGAGAATGACCCCGGGCTGACGCGGCACACCGCGTGGACGTGGCGTTGATACTGCACGGCAGTGTGACCGTCGCATAGACCTGTGTTGGCGGCAACATAAGTATTTGGCTGGTAGACGTTCTGGGAAACCTCTTCTCTTTTAAAAAAGCAAGAGAAAAAAATAAGTAAAACGAGGGAATCCCTGCGCTTGAGCCTCTTTTCAGCACTCGGTAGAGCAGGAGCGCAGAGCAGAGACTGTGCTAGGAGGTGGCGCCCTGCCTGCCGCCCGCACCCCTGTCCCCCGGGAGCACGCGGGGAGCATGCCACACCTCTTTCCTGCCTCTCACCTGCTTGCCGCCGAGCACCACGGGTAGAAGCCCAACTCGCCTTGCAAGCAAAGGCTCGTCGTTCCATGTTCTCGTTCTATTGCTCTGGGTGCATTTTCTCGGGCTCTTTCTGGACCTGTTTGCATGTGCCTGCTGCCGGCAGCTGGCGGACCTCAGCCCGAGACTAAGTGCCGTGCTGTCACATTGCAGACTACTCCAGAGGCTTCGGTGGGAAATACGGGGTGCAGAAGGACCGGATGGATAAGGTGAGTGCTTCACGTCCGGGGCTCGGTGTTTTCTGCTGAGAGGATCGGGCGTCTGACGCTCTTGGCAGGCGGATGGCTGGTCCCTGGGTGGTCTCTGGTCTCTGGTGGGTGCCTGGCGTGTGTTTGCAGAAGCGCGAACGTTTCAGGCAGGCGTGTCATCACCGTGGCGGTGCCAGTAGCTGACACACGTGCCGTGCTTTGTCTCCTGTGTCACGGGTGTGGCTTCGTCTCCTGTGTCACGGGTGTCCTCTCCTGGACCCCTCGAGGCCACGCTCTGAGGCAGTTGCTGTCCCTGTCACGTATTGGGGGGTGCGGGGTCCCCGGCCAGGCAGGCGCAGCGCTGGACCGCCGTCGCGAATGCCTCCCAGACACGTGGCTGTGACCGTACTTGGCAGTGAACTCATCTGGAAACCGAGCTCTTTGGTCACGCTGGCCGCGTCGCGGGGCCTGCCGTCTTGGGGAAGGTGGATCCGGAAGGTGCGCGTCGCCGCAGGGGGTCCCCAGAGGCAGGGTGACACGGCTGCGCAGCTCCACGCTTGGCTCTCCCTGGGGTGCCCTTGTCCAGCTGGTCCCTCCTGCTTGGTTTCAGAGTCTCAGTGCGTCAGGTGGTTGGGTTTCTGGTCTAAATTCCAGCCACGTCAGAGGAGCAGACCCACAAGCCGCGTGGAGCGGTCATCGCTGGGGACCGGGCGTGGTCTGTCTCCCGTCGGTTCAGCCGGACCGAGGTTGAGGCCGCCCTGCCCGGTCGGGCGTCTGGGTGCCAGGGCCGGTCCCTGTGGAGTTCCCCTTCCATCAGGCTCCCAGCTGACCCCTCGGGGCACCCCGTCACGTGACCGCGTGTGGGCCCTGGGAGCGAGCGGCAGAGCACAGGGCTCTGACCGCGGGGCCGGGAGTGTCCCAAGGGGGTGCGAGTCTGAGCTCGGCTTTGCGGGTGGTGGGAGCTCACCAGGGAGGACGGGGCCAGTGTGTGTGTGGGCGTGGGGACGGGGACACCGAGGACGTTGCGGGCCTGGGGTTGGCGTCGTGGCAGATACAGAAGGTCTGAGAGAAGCCAGGTGGGGCCCGCTGCAGGGGGGCGGGTGGTGAGTGGCTGGTCACGACCCACTTCAGGGAGCTCTGCGGACCCCTGGTGAGGTTCTGTGTTTCATCAGGTGGGTTCTGAGCGGCCCTGCAAGGGTTTGACAGGCAAATGACGTGAAGAGGACGTGCACCAAGCAGCCCCCCTGCCCCGGGGTGGAGAGTGGATCGTGGGGGAAGCCGCAAGGCCGTGGCCCCAGTTAGGAGGCGGCTTCAGCGCTTTGATCGGGGTGCTTCTGGCTCGCCCTGGGGATGGCGGCGGAGGAAGAGAGATGCTTCCTTGAGGCAGCGTGGGTGCCGAAGCCCCTGCGCTTAAGGGGGGCGGGGGAGGGCCTCCCGGGTGGATGGTGGGGCCGTCTGCTGAGCTCAGGAACTCGGGGGGCGGGGCAGGGCTGGGTGGGATGAGTCCCCCGTGGGCGCTGGTTGGGCTGCCAGGCGGCGCAGGTAGTGGGGATGGAGGGGGTAGGGGGTGTGCCTGCAGACGGAGGTGGAGTTGGGGAGCCTGCAGAGAGGCGAGGGGGCCACGGGCCACGCCTGTGGGATGGCAGCGGGCAGGCTGGTCACAGGAGACTGGGCAGGGCACTTGGTGAGGTGCGGGGAGCCCACAGGGTCCACTGGTGCTGGTCTGAGGGTAGAGTTGTGAGGGGGGGAGGGGCCGTCTCTGCCCCGAGGCCGCTTGGCATCTGGCAGGGGTCTGGGCTGTGGGAGGGAGGGAGCCGTGGCGTTGGCACGTTTGGGCCATGATCAGGGAGAGCTGGGCACTGTCAGCTGAGGGGATGGTTCTGTTTTAAGGTGGGAGGAGCCCAGGCCATAGACAGGGAGGGGCAGGGAGACCCTGGGGCGTGGGGGGGCGGGTGCGCGGGGTGCCCCTGCGGCCAGCTGGTGGTCTGTGCTGTGCGCTTGGGAAGCCCAGGGCTTAGAAGGGTGAGGCACCTTCCCCGGTCTCAGCCTTGTCGGCAGCATGAGATCATCCCTGGGACGGGCGGCGCAGGGACTCAGGTCTGACGTAGTCCCCGTGGGTGCTGGAAGCAGGTGCGAGGTTCCCGGCAGGTGAGCCCCAGGAGAGGCCGAGACCTTGAGTTGGTCAGGCTGGACGGTGGGGAGTGGGGAGCTGGGCCCAGGTGGAGGAGGGTGGCCAGCGGGAGAGGGGAAGGCTGTAGTCGGTGGGCGGGTCTTGGTGATTGAGGTGCAGTGTGGTGGGGACCCCGCAGCTGGAAACGAGAGGCTTGGGGTCGTGGTGTTTGCCAGCAGCCTGTGGGCGAAGGCAGAGAGGTGGCTCTGAGCATCGTGCTGGAGAGTTGGCCGGACGGGACGGGCAGCGGGTGTGCAGGAGCCACGGCCCAGAAGCTGGGGGGCGCTGACCCCTTCCCCGCCGAGGCCGCAGGGCAGGCAGGAGCCTCGTGGGAGAGCCGGTGGGGGCGGGGCCTTAGAGGTTGTTCTGGAAAGAGCTGGGGAGGTTTGGGGAGCAGAGCAGGGGGGTGGTCTGGGCAGGCGAGCAGCCACCCCGGAGATGGAGGAGGAGGCAGGAGAAGGGGGCTTTGGCGGGAGGCTCGGGGCCAGTCCCCAGACGTGCCGATCAGAGCCCGTGGGTCACTGCCGCCCTTGTGGAGCTGCCTGCGCCTGAACTTGGTGCGGGCCGTGCGCACTTTCCAAAGCTGCTGCTCGCGGCCGGCCTCAGGGTCAGCTGGTCACAGGCTTCCTTCCATGCATCCTTTCTTCCGGTTCCTGTGTCAGGAAAGCAGTGACCGTCCTGAGCCCCCGGCGTGTTTCCCTGAGAAGCGTTTGTGCCCAGCGGCCAGTGCTGTCCTGAGCTGTCAGTCCGCACCCGTGTCAGCCTTTACGTGGACGGTTGTTGCTGTCCTTTTAGTCTCACAGAGTTGGGTCCCTACAGAACGAAACTAGAGTCACACTTATTGGGAGAGGTGGAAGATCGGGGGGCCTTTGTACGTCCCAGGTCCTCTCCCAGCTCAGCAGAGGCTTCTGGGCTCCCCTGCAAATTCTGTCCGTGGCGAGAGCTTGGGAGGAACACGTGCTTGGTTTATGGTTATGAAATGGAGGCTCGTGGTAGGGTTTTTGGTTTTTCTGCTTTTTTTGAGCAATTTGCTCAAATTTGAGAGGAAGGTGCAGAGATTTCCTGTATACTCCTTACCTCCCCTCCCCCACCCAGTGGTCCATTTGTTATGATCTGTGAACCTACGTTGAGCCTACATCGTAGGCACCCAGCGCTGAGGTCGGCTTTAGGGTTCTCTCCTGGGATGGTACATTCTGCCGGTTTGCACAGGCGTGTAGTGACTCGTATCTACCACTGTCGATTCCTACACAGTAGTTTCACTGCCCTAAACATCCTGGCCCTGCCCATTCACCGCCCCCCACCCAACCCCCGCCCCGCCATAGGTGTGTTTATTCTCTGACACTGACCCGTATGGTCACCAGCCAATGTGTTATCAACACACTTTTCATGCCTCTGTTAATGTGCAGAACAGGTGGATATGAAATCTTTGGGCTCTCTGGTTGGTTCTTTTGGAAGATCTGGGGCAGGCCTTTGTGCAGGGAGAGGAAAGGAAGAAAGAAAAATGTGTTCCTGATCTCCCCTTTCCTGTCTCGGTAGAACGCTTCCACCTTTGAGGACGTTGCCACTGTGGCCTCCACTTATCAGAAGACTGTCCCTGTTGAAGCAGGTAAGTCCTAGCAGACCCCCTGGCAGCACCGTGGTTTTTCCCGGGAGAAATTCCACGCTGTGTGGTGTCCCCAGGACAGTGCTAAAGGGGGAAAGGAGAGTCGGCAGGAGCAGATGAAGCATTAACGGAGACCATAGTTGATCTGTGTATTTTGTGGATGGCAGTTGATTACCCGTTTGACGCTGTTTGTTCCTGCAGAGGTTCAGAGGCACCTTTCAGACACGGGCGTTGAAGCTCTCTGGCGGCGGGGATCTGTTTTGGGGGGTGCTTCCCAAAGCAGAGCTAGGTTAACTGCACGTCCTCAAGGGCCCTGCTCACTGCCGGGGCCCAGGCCCTGGGAGGTTCCTGCGGAACCTGCCGCTGCCCCAGCCATGGCGTGTCTGAGCAGCATGTCACCGCGTCTGCATGAGTTCAGGCAGCCCTCTCCTTCCTCACTCGCGGGCGAGGACCAGGCTGCTCGCAACCCGCCCTTCCGGTGCCTGCTGCCTGCGCGGGCCTCCTGCGGTCTTTGTGTCTGCTGGGGAGCCGTTAAACATGGGCCAGCCTGAGAGAACATCATTTAGTTGGGGAATTATTACACGTGATAGAAGTGGTCAGTTAAACGCAGCAAGTGGAGACCACCATTTATTTCCTGTGGACGCCCTGTGGGTCAGCAGTCCCCACACTCTGGTCTCAGGACGCTGGCAGAAATTGCTGAGGCCCCAAAGAACTTTTGTTTACATGGGTTATGTTTTCTGATCTTTACTGTGTTAGAATTAAAACAGAGGCGAGAAGAATTTACCATTTTATTAATTCACTTAAACATTTAAAAGCAGTGAAACTATCAAATATTAGCATAATACTTTTTATGAAAAAAATAATTGCATTTTCAAAACCAGAAAGTGCAGAAGGGTAGCATTTCTTTAAATCAAGGTATAGTTAGTTGATTTACAATGTTAGTTTCAGATATACAGCCTAGTGATTCAGAGGTTTTAGAGATTATTCTCCGTTTACAGTTATTATACGATATTGGCTAGGTTCCAGGGTAGCGTTGTGTTACGTTTCTGTGGAATCTCCTCAGTGTCGGCCAGCTGAGCTTTCTTAGCTGCTTCTCACTCCTTCAGTCTCTCGTGACACGTTAGGGTGGTGAAGAAAGTCTGGACTCCCCAGATAAGCAGTGGGAAAAGGGAAGGGTATTTTACTGGCCGTTTCCGGTCGTGTTCTCTGTACCCCAGTCCAGCAGGCAGCCGTCCAGTGGTTTTCTTAAAGGTTGGTCTCTCTTGCGCAACAAGACTTTGTGACATCACGCCAGGGTCATTGGAGAGTATCGATCACCGAGTCACGCTGATCTTCCACACGCTGGCACCTTTCATTATACAGCGCCCGCCAGGTCACGTTCGGTAACAGTATCAACCTCGTCGCGGAGTCTCTGAGTAAAACCGGGAAATTGTCACACTCATGGCAGTGGACATGGATTTTCCAAAATTCTGATTTTGCTTGAAAGCTTCAGTTTTCCCACTGACAACAAACACTGTAGTTGTTTTTTAACAGGATAGGCTCAGCTCGTCCTCGGAGAAAGGGTCTGACACGTACCCAAACGGCGTAACCGTAGTTTGTCCATTGTCATTTCAGGGAAAATGGTGTACCAGGAAAAATCAGTTCGCCCTGCATCTCAGATAGTTGCACGTGTTTTCCCTGGAGGCCCCACGGCATGTCCACAGGGGCAGTCGCAGTGGGCTCCGCCCTCCCATTTTGTCACACAAAATGTTAAAAGGGTTGAGATCTACTCACAATCAGTACTTTCTACTGTTTTATCAAGGGCATCCTTAGGGGGATTTTCTTTCCTTGTGAGTGTCTGGTGGTAAAGAATACAGTGGTGTTCGGAACGTAAGAGCATTGCAGATGCAGGGCTATGCCGTCTTCCCGCTGTGGGTGCAGCACATGCAATGGTGAAGGCCGTTCCTGGTGGGGGACTGAGCCGGCAGCCGAGGGGGCGCATTGCCCCCAGCTGGGGTACCTGCTTCCCGAGGGACGGGCCACCCTGGCGCGGGCCCGGTCCGGGGGAGATGGTGGTGCCCTGAGTAAATCTCTCCTTCCTCTGCAGTGAGCAGCAAAACCAGTGACATCAGAGCGAACTTTGAAAACCTGGCGAGGGAGAAGGAGCACGAGGACAGGCGGCAGGCGGAGGCGGAGCGGGCGCAGAGGAGGGCGAGGCAGCAGCGGGAACAGCAGGCGGCGCGCAGGCAGCTGGACGTGAGTGCGGGCGGTGCCTGGGCCCCCCTTGCGTGCGCGGGGCCGTGTGTGTGGCTCGTTCTTGCATCTGCTGCAGAAAGTAGTCAGTAGAAAGCGTTTTGAACTCGCGCCGAAGGCTGTGCTCTCAGGAACTTAGCCTTCAGCCACACAGATGATCCAGTCTCTTGCCACCAGACACGAGATGGTCGACCCGCCCCGGCTCTAGCCGTGCTGCTCTAGCACTGGGCGACTGCGGGCCTGTCCTCCCCCGTCAGGCTGGCGGCCCCCATGCCCTTGGCCCAGCCCCCGTCCACATGTCTCCCCCGCAGTCTGTTCCCACCCGTCACCCTCGGGAACCCGCTGTCCCCTTGGGTGGCAGGTTGAGGACACAGAAGGAATCCCCGTGAAGGAGGCCGTCTGCTGCCTCTTGTAGCTCTTGCTCCTGGAGCTCGGGTCCGCAGGTGTTTTCTGTGATTCTTTACAAACTGTCTTTGCACTGGAGAAGGTGGAAGTGGGAGCTGTGAGGGGTGAGCAGGAGGGTGTGGACTCGCTCCTTCCTAAAACTCTGCAGCTGGACTGACGTCTGATGGTCCGGGTCCACCTCCGCCGCCTACCAGCCAGGCAGCCTGATGCGAATCAGCACGCCGTCCCTCGGCCCATGTTCTTGCCCGTGAAATGGGTGTGGGATCGCCACGACTCGGGTGGCTAGGAAGTCGAATCTGAAATAACGCGTGTGTTGTTGTATAGATTGTAAAGCTCTATTTAAACCTAAGGACATTTCCTCCTCAGATCAGTGGTTAGGGCTCTGAAGAGCCCGTCAAGGGGGAGTGGGCAGTTGAGGCAGTTAACATGCGACGGGCAGGAAACGCTGGGCGCTGGAGCCGGGAATTAAATAAGCCCTGTTAACACGTTTTTATCACACGTGGTGAAGTCGGGATGATAGCAAACGTGTATAATTACCACATACCGTTCCTTAATTGTCAGAACCTTTAAAGCTGTCTCTCCTTTAAGTTTTTAGTTAGGCGCTTGTAAGTTTTTCTTTGTTGCAGACACACACGTGCACACTAGGAGGCACTTTTTCCGATAACTTGGTCTCGTTTTCACATAACACCTTCCTCATTTTATGGCTCGGAATTGGACCCCTGCAGTCTGAAAGCTGCAGAAGGGCTGGAGGGCTTGAGAGGAAGGCTCTCGGTTGCTGTTGTCTAGCCCCTCTGCCTTTGAGGTTCTCTCGCCGTCCCTTCCGCCGTGTTGTCCCTCGCTGTGTCCAGCCCCTGCCAGCCTCTCCCCACCCGCCTGTCCCCTGAGTGACTCCCATCGATTGGCGTGGTACTGCTCGCACCAGAGCCCTCTGGGTTGTGAGGCGCTCTCCTGGGGCAGGACACGGCCCGCACGCATCCAAGCGTTCCCTGTGGCAGGCGGGGCGGCCACGGATGCTCAACCCGCACATTCTCGGGAGCGAGCGTGCCCCCGAGAAGGAACGTCTCTGTTCCCCGCCAGATCAGGGTGTGGCGGGGTGGACGGGGGCCATCACGGGTCCTCGTGCCGCTGCGTGGTGGGCGGCAGGCCCGGGTCTCCAGAAGCCCACGCTCAGCCCGGCCTAGGCCCGGCCCCTTTGGGGAATCATGCTGCCTCAGGGATTTAACTCATGGGCCAGCTGCCAGCGCCGTGAGGACTCGTGACCGTCCTGCTGGTGCGGGTCAGGCAAAGACACACTGGGGTCCAAAGCTGTGTGGTCTCTGGAGGGGGTGGTTTCCACAGGGCAGTGCCGCCGCCGGCTGTCAGGCGGCCTGGCAGAGCAGGCAGGGAGCGGGTGGGGACGGTGCGGCTCCTGCTTCTGCTGCTCCTGTCGTGTCCCTGGGCGAGCGACTTCCCTCCCCAGGCCGTCAGGTTCCTGATCGGTAGTGTGGAGAAAGTCCACCTCACAGGCGTCAGCACTGGTGGCTTAGGACGGCGCACGGTTACTGCCTCACAGGCTGGAGGCCGGAAGGCCTGGGCGGGGTGACGGGGCTGCTTCCTTCTGGAGGCTGCAGAGGGGAATCGCGTCCTTGCCTCTTTCAGCTTCTAGAGCCCCCCCCCGCCCCGCCCCCCCACCCCAAGCTCTGCTTTGACTGTCTGTCTCCCGCTTGTAAGGACCTTTGATGACACCAGGCCCACCCGGGTAATCCAGGGTCACCTCCTGTCTTGGGTCCTTACCTTGGTCACGTCTGCAGCCTCTTGCCTTGTAAGGGCACACATTCACAGGACCTTGGGGGTTGGGATGTCAGCATCTGTCCACCGCTGTCCATCCTCTGGCCTCCCCAAGATTCACGTCCGTCCTACGTGCAAAATCCCTTCACTCTATTAGAAGGTCCCCGGAGGTCTCAATCCGTTACAGCATCAGCTCGGAGCCCAGGTGGGGGCGTGCGGATCAGGTGTGCGGGGGGCACTGCCGCCTCTGGCTGGTTCCGTCAGCCCTGGGGGCAGGACTGCGTGGGCCACCAGGGCTGTGTCTTGAGAGAAGACTTGACCGCCTGACCTTGGCTGCAGAGCAGACGCGCCCTTGACATCTCTGCACCCCACGTCTGCTCCGTGTTGCCGTTCCTTCCTCCGGCAGCAGCAGCTTCACGCTCAGGCACGACTGCGGGGAGGCCTGGTGACGCGCTGACTGCCGCTGTCTCTGCATTCCAGGAGCAAGCCCGGGCCCAGAAGCCCACGCCCCCCGCGTCGCCCACGCCCCAGCCGGCCCAGGAGAGGCTGCCTTCCAGCCCCGTCTGCGAGGTTGGTGCTTTTATCTGCTTTGCCCGTGAGTCTCTGAGGCCCCGGAGACGCCCTTCCCAGCTCAGCGCCCTGTGGACGGGGTCCCTCCCTGCGCTGCCCGGTGCCCCGAGGGCAGCCCTCCTGAGCCTGGGGCCTCTCGCCGCCTTGGCTTCCCCACTGGCCTTCTCACCCGCCTGCCGGCCCTGCTGCACTCTCCTGAGTCAGCCAGCCGGTGCACGGGTCTTTCCCTCACCCACTCCCTGCTGCCCTCGACCCGGACCACACCGCCTTCCAGGACCCTCATCCCCGCCTGGCCGCCGCCCCGCGGCCCTCCTCCCTTGGCCTCTCTCAAGCACCGTGTTCTCCGGAGACTCTGTCCTTGGCCCTTCCTCCCCAGTCTTCAGTCCCCAGGACCTGCTCCTTTGACCCCTGGGTCACTGAGCCGCCTGCCCCGCTCCCCACGGCCGGGTCTCCACAGGCTCTGCGGGCCCCCCTCCCAGAGCAGCTCGGCCCCTGCCGTCCACACCCACACCCGGCCCAGCCCGAGTCCCCTCTGTCCCGCTGTCCCTCTCACTCACCTGTCTTCCCTCACCTGGACGTCACCAGTTAGAGCTCCCTGAGTCACAAGGGACTGAAACTGGCTCAACTCGGCTGAGGCCTAAAGGGGCTGAGGGTGCGGGAGCACCGTGCGCGGGCCTGGGCCTTGGGGTGGTCTGTAGGCTCACCCCTCTGCCTGGCGGGTGTGGCAGGTATGGCGGGTGCGGTCTTAGAATCTGTAATCCCATGCAAAGGGGGCCCCTGTGCACCCGCCTGTCAGGGCCCACTGCTGGGCCCGTCACTAGCGAGCCATTGGTCCTTTGAGAAGGCTGGAATGACACGTTGTCCTGGGCGGGGCAGGGAGCCCTGCCCAACCACGTGAGGGGCGGAGGGGCTGCTGCGGGAAGATAGGAGGTTAGGGCGTTGCTGGCAGCCGTGTGCAGTGTCCCTGCAGTGACCTGCTCGGGGTGACCCCCTGACCGCTGAGCGGTTCCGTGCGACCCTGCAGCACCGTCTGGCCCCTCACCCTCCAGTCTGTTCCCTTCACCTCCAGGGGCAATTGCCCCGTCACCCCCTTATTTAGCCCTGGAGTGGCGCCCAGTGCCCGGCCCAGGTGGAGCCCTGCCCTGTGGCCTCTGGAGTAGCGCTCCCGGCCTGCCGCACCCCTCTGTCACCCTCTGTGGGAAGCCGAGGCCTGACCACCAGCTCCCCCTGGGGCTCTCTGTGTGCACCTTCCGTTCTTGACCCACGAGGGTGCCCTCAGGTGGACCCTGGTCGGAAACGCTGGTTGAAGCCACCGTTGGTGGTGGATGGTTGGGAACTGGGGTCGTGGCTCAGGTGGCTGTCAGCAGAGCGCTCTTGATGTCCTCTTGCATGGGACTTGTTGGTCACTTCCTTGCCTCACCTCCACGGAGGGTTTGGTGAGGATGGAACTCGCCACCCGCGGGCTCAGCTGCCCTAGCCAGTGGGATCGGGTGATGCCGTGGAGCTGCTGGCAGAGGCCCGGGAGGGCTGGGACCCAAAGAGGAAACGGGCCAGACCTGCCTCAGGAAAGTGGGGCTCTCGCAGCCGGCAGGTCTTTGGTGGCGGCAGGACTCAGGGTGTCGGGGGTGTGAGGACGGGCTTGTGAGGGGGAGCCTGGCCCTCGGCACTGTGGGACCCGCTAGGGCCCAGGCGTCCGCAGGGTGTGAGCAGGTGACGCCTCCCTGTCCCCGTGTCTGTCTTGTCTCAGCTGGGGCCGAGAGTGGTCCGCGTGTCTCTCTTGGTTGGGTGGCCGTGGTCGTGACCCGGCACGGGCCACGGGAACCGTCTCCTTGACTCTCCCCAGGCCGCGGCTCCGTTCCAGGCCGAGCCGAGCCACACCGGTGAGCCTGAGCCGGTGTACAGCACAGAGGCCACCGAGTACCGGGAGGCCTATGCCCCGGAGGCCGTCTACGAAAGCACGGAGGCCCCGGGCCACTACCAAGCAGGTACACGGGTCTCCTGCATTCCGCCTCGCTCTGCTTCTGTTTCCCTGCTGGCCGACCTGCCCCACCTCTGCCATGCTTGCGGGGCTCCTGTCCTCCTGCTGCGGGCCCCGGACCCCAGGGGGCTTGGCCTGGCCTCCCGGGGGGTTCCAGGAGATCCCTGCTTGTGCTGAGGGCGCTGAGAGGGCTGGGCGTGGAGGAAGGGGCTCTTGCTGTTGTTGTATCAGAGTAGAAGCTCGTGAGGTCTCCAGGAAGCCAGAGTACGTTGAGGCCTCCGAAGAGGGAGCTTTCTGTGCACTCTGAAAATCTTATGGATGGGTGAACACTCAAATTGGTCTTTTGATTTCTAGAGATGAGGTTCCCTTTAATGTGTTTGGACAGATATAACACAAGCCCATTCTCCCACTTGGAGTGACATGAAAATCAGTATCAGAATCTACACCAGGGCAGGGCTCTCTCCTGAGCACAGCGTGAGGTGTGATCAGCCGTCTCCTGCTTGCCATTCATTTGTTCATGATATGACCTTTCCTAAAAGTAGTGCTCAATCTTTAAAATGTAAAAAATGACACTCTGAAAACTGTCAGTGCCTCTCTCGAGACCATTACACGTGGATTCGCTCCTTGGAGCCGGGTCCTCCCCTTGGGAGAAGGAGCCCGACGGCCCACGGTGCACCCTCCGGAGTCACGCCCGGCACCCCTGCAGCGTCCTCTCCTGACTGGCGGCTCCACCCGGACCTGAGGGAGGGGCGTCTGACGGGAGTGAGAGTGGAGCTCTGCTTCCCTCTCAGACCCTGTTCTGGTTTATTCTAGAGGAGGGTACCTACGGTGAATATGAGAACGACCTTGGAATCACAGCCATCGCCCTCTATGACTACCAGGCTGGTGAGACACTGCCCCGAGGGCTGGAAATGGTGGTGGCGGGGCTTCCGGTGGGGTTCGTCTCTTCAAAGTCTGACTCTCAGAGCGTTATTTACGATTTTTAAAAAGAATTTATTTTGGAACGGTTTCAGGGTTATAGAAAAGTTGCAGATACAGTCCAAGGAATTCCTGTATCTCCCTCAACCACAGTTCATCTGCTCTGGGTTAGGGTTTTGTTTGAAGGGCTCTGCCCTGTCTCTGTGTCCGCCCCTGTGCGTGCAAAGCCACCTTCACGGAGTAGGGGAGACAGTGAACCCTCCACCCCCAAGGAGCCTCCACCCCCAGGACCCTGCACCCCCAGAACCCTGCACCCCCATGGAGCCTCAGTGGGAGGCCGCCAGCTCGAGGGGCTGCTGGAGGCTTTTCCTCTGGTGGCTGAGCAGGGAACGCCGAGTGTGACCGCTGCCCCCTCTCTGTGCCCTCCTCCCTAGCGGGCGATGATGAGATCTCCTTCGACCCCGACGACATCATCACCAACATCGAGATGATTGACGATGGCTGGTGGCGCGGGCTGTGCAAGGGCAGGTATGGGCTCTTCCCCGCCAACTACGTGGAGCTGCGGCAGTAGGTAGCTGGCCACGCCCTCGCCGTCTGTGGCCACACCTGCCGTCTGGTGTTTTCTTCAGGGTGCCGAAGGGAGTGCGCACTGCTTTTATGTTTAATACTGTGCTGATGCTTTTGGAAATTTACGCCACAGAACTTGCTAATATACTGTAATCATGCTCCTTGGAGGACTCGGTGATTGTTTCTATGCATTTAAGGTTTTTTTTTTTGTTGTTTTTTTTTTTTTTTTTGTCAAATCAAGCGTCTATTAAATTTCCAATTATTTCATAGATTTGTGTGTTTTGTGTTTTTTTTTTTTTTTTTTTTTTTTTTTTTTTTGCCAAATCAACTGTTGCCTGGAGCCACTTCGGGGACCTTTGGTCCTGATTGTGTGTTGTCCCTGCCCGCCTCTCGCCCTCCGCTCCAACAAGGTGGGGGCGGGAGTCCCCGCCCAGGGTTTTGGAGGCAGAAGGAGGGCCTGATAGGAAGTTAGAATTGTGGGGCAGTCGCTAGAAAGTACGGGAGCTGTCGGCTCGGTCGGAAAAGCCCCTCGCGCTGTGAAATCCCACAGTCTTTGCTGGGTTTCAGCAAAGACCCCCCCTTTCTCCGCGGCTCCCTCCTCTTGTCCTCGTTCTCTCGCCTCCCCCCGACGCCCGGCCTCCAGGAGGGCTGCTGGGCCCCTGCTCCCGCCCCCGCTGCAGTGTCACCAGTCCCTTAAAGACTGTCCTCCCGCTGTCCCCAGCCCCGGGCAGCTGGCCTGTGTCCGCCCTGTGGGGAAAGAGCCGCTGCTGGGGGAAGGCAGGTCCCTTCCCCATGGTGAACCGCAGAGACGCTTCCCATCAAGGAGGCCGCGCCCTTTTTGCCAAAATGTCGTGTTAAGTGACAGTAAAATCTGATGGATTGACTTGGCTGAGAACAAGAGGGAGTGCTGTGGCCTGAGACGCTGCCGTGGCTGCTGCGGGGAGCCCGTCCCCCGGGAGGGACCGCGAGGCCCGCCCAGCTCCTGCACGTGGCCGGGGCAGTGTCCTCCCGGGGGACCACATGGAAATGTCTCTGGTGTTGGGATGCCAGTGACCATGAGGTACACGTTTTCTTTCCTGAAGTGCATTTGCTTTACCACGAGTAGGTCGGGTTTTATATGCAATTCTTGTATCTGAATTTCTGTAGCACATCTCATAGGTATGATTTTTTTAAATTAAATATTCAAAATAAACTTTTTTTGATCCACTTGCTGCTGATTCACTTCATTCTACAGTGGGGGACGGCTTTGCTGTCACCACCCAGCGAGGTAAAGCCTTGTATTTATCACCTCTGGGCCAGCTAGCTTCCCTTTTGAAGAGGCACGCTCCTTAAAAGGTATTTTCTAGGAGATAAAATGTTTTAACTCTCGAATTATCAGTTATTTGTGCAAGGATTCCAAGCAAGACGGAAAATGCTGTGTTTAAAACTCATTTCTGAATTACGGTTTTCAAAATAAGTCGCGAGGTGATTGCAGTGTAGCCAAAGGTATCATTTTCCTCTGGGGCACAGCAGTCCGTGTCCAGGAGACAATGGTGCTGAGCAGAGGAAGGGCAGGCTTGGGTGGCGTGGGGAGAGGGGTTGCAGCCGCCAGGTCAGCTGAGAAGCCCCGGAGGTCGTGGGCGGCAGCAGAGAAGCGTCAGGACTGACACATCCAGGCCGCCCCGCTCAGTGGTGGTCCGCTCCCAGTTGTGCAGGTTCCTGCTTTGGAGCCTCCGACGGTGAGGGGTGGGGCGTGCTGCGTGCTAACCCGGCTCCCTGGTTTCCAAGGCGGTAGACAGGGCTCCCCTTGCAGGCGGCTCGTCTGGCGGAATGAGAGCTTCGAAGCTTCTGGAAGATGTGCTCTCCCCAGCCCCCTCTTGAGGACCTTGGCCTGGTGGGCTGCCTAGACCCTCAGGCAGGTGTGGTGGTGACCTTTTGTTTTCAAGCTAAGGCTGGAGGACTGTTACAGTGGCGCTCTCTGAAAATTCAGGAATTTGGAAGTCGGCCCTGGCTGCCCCCCATCGTGTTCCTGACTCCCCAGGTCTGGTGGGAGCTGACCTGGGTCACCTGGGAGCTGGGAGCCTGAGTTCCTGGGCTCATTTCCTTCCCACCAGACCCCCCTGTGGGAACTTCTCGTGGTGCTGAGTTGCCCCATTGGGCCCCTTCAAGCCTGGAGGTAGCACCATTGCCCCCTGGGCACTCGTGCTGCCCCTTGGCCAGCTTTGCTCGCGGGACCCAAGCCTGAGAGGCCCCCTTCCCCCACGGCAATGGGTGGGGTCCAGTGGGAGGCCCCAGTGCTGGGGGTCGGGCCCCCCTGCCTGCAGCCGCCTGCGGGGGACGCTGCTCCTGAAGAAATGGGGCAGGGAGGTTTCCCCACGAGGGGGTGAGGGCAGAATGTGACAAAGGCAGGGGCAGGAAGGCCCCGCTGGCCCAGTGTCTGCCCAGCCTGTCTCCGCCTGTGACCACCTCTTGGCCGTGTCCGCGTGACGTGTCTGTGTGTGTCCTGCTGACCGCAGAGTCTGGCGGGCAGGTGGGGCCTCTCGGGAAAGGAAGCCCTGTTCTGTTCTGCGCCCTGGGCGTGCCGCATGGGGCGTGCACCTGCTTGACTTTATGCTCTGATTTCTTCATCTGAAAAAGGGATTAAAAGCAATGTCCTTTTTCCTCCCAGAAAGGGGCTTCAGGGCTCATTCTCCATACTTGAATTTGGAGTGTTTTGCCAGGATACACCTTAAGGATCTGATGGGTAGAGTGTATGCATCTTACCAGTAAGACATAGCAATACGTTTTAGGAATTTGTTTTTCCTGAAACATTAGGAGACCCTAACCTTATCATCTCAGACCCAGGTTTTAAATTCTGTTTTGTTTTGTTTCTTCCTCCCAATATCCCTTTGGATATTTCTTCTGACCTGTCTGTTCTACCCTGGGAAGACAAACTCTGCATCTGTGATTGTGAAAATGACAAATGGAAGGGAACGTAGGCAAATAGAAATAGGCTGGCTGAGAAGCTGCTTTTTTCCTACCCACTATCAGAGTTATAATATTGCTTCTTCAGTGATGTTCACAACCATCTGAGGGGCTTCCCTGGTGGCGCAGTGGTTGAGAGTCCGCCTGCCGATGCAGGGGACACGGGTTCGTGCCCCGGTCCGGGAAGATCCCACATGCCGCGGAGCGGCTGGGCCCGTGAGCCATGGCTGCTGAGCCTGCGCGTCCGGAGCCTGTGCTCCGCAACGGGAGAGGCCACAATGGTGAGAGGCCCGCGTACCACACACACACACACACACAAAACCATCTGAGACAGTTCAGTTGTCATTTGTGAGCTGTAGAGATTTCCCACTAACATCTGCCATCTCTAGATTGTCAGTATTTTCTCTGTTGATTAAACCTCCTATTGGAAACGGAAACACCAGGCTTCCCTGTGGCGCAGTGGGTTAAGAATCCGCCTGCCAGTGCAGGGGACACGGGTTTGAGCCCTGGTCTGGGAAGATCCCACATGCCGTGGAGCAGCTAAGCCCGCGCACCGCAACTACTGAAGCCTGCAGGCCTAGAGCCCGTGCTCCAGGAGAAGCCACCACAATGAGAAGCCCGCGCACTGCAACAAAGAGTAGCCCCCGAGCAGCAACAAAGACCCAGCGCAGCGCAAAATAAATAAATAAATTAAATAACTTAAAAAAAGAAAAAAGAAATGGAAACACCACCTCCCGAGTGGGCTGTGTGAGGAGATGTGTGTGAACGTTTTCTGTAGGCCTGATAACCCTCGGGTGGACAGAACAGTGACCTCCCAAAGATGTCCACGTGCCAGTCCCGGGAGCCTGTGACTGTGTCACCCTACATGGCAAAGGGCCGGTCCGGGAAGATCCCACATGCCGCGGAGCGGCTGGGCCCGTGAGCCATGGCTGCTGAGCCTGCGCGTCCGGAGCCTGTGCTCCGCAACGGGAGAGGCCACAATGGTGAGAGGCCCGCGTACCACACACACACACACACACAAAACCATCTGAGACAGTTCAGTTGTCATTTGTGAGCTGTAGAGATTTCCCACTAACATCTGCCATCTCTAGATTGTCAGTATTTTCTCTGTTGATTAAACCTCCTATTGGAAACGGAAACACCAGGCTTCCCTGGTGGCGCAGTGGTTAAGAATCCGCCTGCCAGTGCAGGGGACACGGGTTTGAGCCCTGGTCTGGGAAGATCCCACATGCCGTGGAGCAGCTAAGCCCGCGCACCGCAACTACTGAAGCCTGCAGGCCTAGAGCCCGTGCTCCAGGAGAAGCCACCACAATGAGAAGCCCGCGCACTGCAACAAAGAGTAGCCCCCGAGCAGCAACAAAGACCCAGCGCAGCGCAAAATAAATAAATAAATTAAATAACTTAAAAAAAGAAAAAAGAAATGGAAACACCACCTCCCGAGTGGGCTGTGTGAGGAGATGTGTGTGAACGTTTTCTGTAGGCCTGATAACCCTCGGGTGGACAGAACAGTGACCTCCCAAAGATGTCCACGTGCCAGTCCCGGGAGCCTGTGACTGTGTCACCCTACATGGCAAAGGGCAAGTAAGGTCTCTAATCAGCTGGCCTTGGTTTGGGGTTATCCGATGGGTGCCATGTGATCCCAAGGGTCCTTAAGAGTGGAGGAGGGAGACAGAAGGGGGATCAGAGCGATGGCCTGTAAAAGGACTTGACCCGCCGGTGCTGGCTTGGGAGGTGGAGGGAGGGGCCACGAGCCAAGGACTGGGGGCGCCTCTAGAAGCCGGAAAAGGCAAGGGAACAGGTTCATCCCGGGAGCCTCCTGCAGCCACGAGCCCCGCCCTCACCTCGATCTTAGCCCAGTGAGAGCCCCGCTGGATGCTGACCTACGGAGCTGTAGGGTAATGGACTTCTGTTGTTCTGGGCCAGTAGGTTTGGGGTCATTTGTGACAGCTGCCACGGGGAGCTAATCTCCCGTCCTTAGGCTGTTTTTGAAGAGCAGGGTCCCTATTTTCCCTCTCCTCCCCCACGAGGCCGATATCAGGTTCCCAGAAGGTGCTGGATCGC